TCTGTAGTTCTTCCTCAAAGTTAGTAACTACCTAAAATCCAATTGGATAATGTAGTCTAGCTATATTCAACTACCAAAAGAAATTTGATATATTATTCAATTGGCTGATTCCTAGTAAAATCACGTCAATCACAGAGTTATCACTCTAGAAGAGGACTGAGGAAAGACGCATTCAGCAAGAACAAAACACAAGCACTGCGGAAAAACTCATTACCACTGTTTATCGTAACATTTTCACTCTAAAGTGTTTTACAAAAACCGCGACACGTGTTTCGCTATACAATAGCTGTCTCAATCGTGAAATATTATAAAATTACGTAGTTTCTGTGAAACCCGTCATACTTAAAATCATACAATAAACAGTACTACTGAGTTTCAATATGGATTTTCATCAAGAAATAGAGCCTGTGCCAAAGTTGCAATTCACATTGAATTTGAAACGCTGGAGATCAAATTCATTTGGAAAACTGTTCTCAGAAAGTTTATTCCACATAAACGCAGTTCTCCAGATGAAAGAGTTCTTGAACAGAAAAGTTCGAGGTGTAATGAGTTGAACCTCTAAGCAATAAGCAGCCACAGTCCTTCGTGTATTTCTGATATGTACCGCTCTTGGTGGAATCAAGTATGCCAAGTCACTTGAAAACCTACTGCAAAAGTATCTATAGGAGAGACGAATCTCCAACCTTTCTTCGATGTTCCAGACTGTCGAGGTTGTGAGTAATGTTTGCATCTACAAGCAGATGGATGGCTATTTTCTGGATGGAATCCAGCAGCTTCAGGGTATGCTTAGGGGCGAAGCTCCATACGTGAGAACAATGCTCCAAAGAAGGTCTGATCTGAGCTTCATAAAGCATCAAAAGTTTCTGAGGTGTGTACAGTTTTCTGGTTTGGAACAGTATTCCAAGCTTATGAGAAGCAATTTTTGCAATTTCAGTGTCACGACCCATTATTATATCCGGTTAGCAAACATTTTTCTGTTTGAAGAAAACCGATGCCTGGATTTTTGTGGCATTTAATCAAACCTTGTTACTTTCACCTCAATTCGAAAGGACTTCTAGATCCGGTGAAGATAATAATAATAATGGCTTTCATTGATGGTTCCATACAATTACAACCGATCAAATGGCAGGATTCAATATCTGCGTAATATCTGCGTTCTAAAGGATATTTTTTCGAAAAAATAGGAGGGTTATTTTGTTTCAAGGAGTTTTTGAAAAAATGTTGCAGAATGAAATGTTCGTTTGGATTCCAACGTGTTCTTGTTTCCTCGTACCCGTGCTGAGCCTAATGCATGCATTCTGAAGTTTTTGGATTCTAAAACTGTCTCTCTTCAAAACTCCCGGACCATACACCACGTCTGCGTAGTTGGAATGTGAAAGGACTAAAGCATCGCAGAGTATAATTTTCCTTTTTTTATTCAGAAATGCTCTGTTGGAATATATTATTTTCAAATTTGCGTAACCTCGTTTTAGAATTTGCGAAATGTGTGTTTAAAAACGAAGACTGTTGTCAAGATATAGGCATAAGTTTTTTAGAAGTCTTTTCAAGGGAAGTTCTGTTCCATCTATTACAATATTTATGAGACCAGAACACCAGAACAACGATTTCTCGCCACTGTTCTACCAAAGAGCATGACTTAAACAGATAGGCAATATTTAGTTGACAAAGATAATAAAATATCGAGATCGGTATTATTTGCCATAGGGCCTCGTTAATTGAATTCTCGTCGAATTCCATATACAGCTGAGTATCGTTGGCATAACAATAGAGGGCCCAATATTCAACCTTGGGGAACACCGTTTTAATTTGTATTAAATCAGATTTTACGATATAATACACAACTCTTTGAAAACGATTGCGAAGGTAACTTTTGAGTAGTGCTACAGCATGTATTGAAAACCCTTGGTAGCCCAAAATAGCAAAGAGGAAGTCATGGTGTATGCGACCGAACTTCTTAGAATAGTCCAATAATATCAAAAGCCAGAGTTTGTTATTATCAATAGATCTGTGCACATCATCCACAACTTTCAGGAGGACAGTCGTACAACTGTGATCAGGTCTGAACCCTGATTGACACTCTGGTAATATATCGAAGTCATTCAGAAAATCACGCATCTGTCAGTTCAATATTTTTTCAAAAACATTTGAGAGCGCACATAAGATGCTAATTGGTCGGAGATCGCCTAAACTTTCGGGGATACAATTTTTGGCCAACGGAAGAACTTTTGCTTGCTCCCAGATGAATGGATAGGAATTAGTCAACATGCATTGATTGAATAAGTGAGTGATATGTGGAAGGATTGTGGAGCAGAAGTACAGCAACATCTCAATGCTCATATCATCAGGTCCTACAGCATACGACTTCATGTTCAGAATGAACTTATAGATTCCATAAAGATTTCATTAACAGCTTCAACTACCGATAAGAAGGATCTGGACCTGTTGGAATTCGGCTAGCATTTTTTCGTGATTCTCTGTTTATGAGGTTCTTTGCTTTCATCCATTCTGAGTTTGCAGCTGTTGCGAATATTAACAAACCTAGTTCAGTTTTCGGCACTGGCGTTTTTGCACCACTGCTGGTAGGCTAAATTTTTGGGGCGACAGCTTGCTCGCATTTTTTGTTGGACCAAGGTTTGCCTTCAGAAGTTATTCAAATCAATTTAATCATAAATGACACACTGGGAATTCCTGAAATCATTCATCACAATATTTTTCACACGATTGAGTCTGAAAACATTTGTTTTTGAATTCACGTATAGTCATGCTCGCCTGTGAAGAAGTGACCACACATCAGTTGAATTCATTTCTTTATTCAGGAAACTATTTCTATGGTCTTTTATGCGTCCCTCAAATATTATCCCTATTCATAATTCCATTTGGCCTAAACGGTTCATCAGACTTTATCACTCAACTTGCTGTAGTGTAATCTCAGTAAACGAAACTTTCTGGCATATTGCGCCCAGAAGGAAGAATAACCTTTCTCAGCTCATTCCTGAATTCTTCCATGACTTCTCAATGATCTTCCAGCGATAAAACCATTCCTCAATATATCAAGTAGACGTGATGCACTCTTTAGAACCTTTGGTGTTGTAATGAATGTTACTGTTACCAACACCAAAGCGTTATTTTTACCACTTGGTGATTGAAAATCGTGTCAAAGCGTTAAAATAACAATTTGGTGTTGAAATTCAGCTCCAGTAATGTTCATATTCAGAGTAGAATAAAAGTAAAGAAAAACATATAAAATGAAATGAAATTTTGTGCAAAAAGTTGTTGGAACAGGAAATAAAGACATAAAACAGGGATCGTACAGCATCAAATAACATTCTTCTCATGTATCAGTCCAACCAATTTTTTATTCCACTTATTTAGAAGAAATCTCGAAACGAGTACTGGAAGTAGTTCTTCCTTTGGACTGTTTCACTTTCAATTACAAACACACCTGGTTTATAAATCCGTATCAAACGATATGATATCCATAATATATGCATTTTGCATTCAGTATCTGTATAAACACCAAAATTATACATAATATGCATGCATTGCAATTGATTTATATCTCTTGTTTCATTAATTATTCGGCTTATCGAATTCTATTCTGTTCAAATAAAGTTTTCGCCTGAATATGACACAATAATGAAACGATGATATGGATATGTCCATTTTGATAAGAACATCAAAATAATTGACAAGTTAGATCAGAGTTTCTGATATTCTTTATTGATGCAGGCTCAGGATAATTATTCGACAGATAATCAAATCAGAAAATATATCGTTCTTAAATTCGACTCTCATCATCAGAGAACAAAATTGAACATTTTCCTAAGAAAACTCATAACACATTGTTTGTAATGCTTGGAAAAACCTTCAGCTATGTTTTTCACGGAATTCTTCAAAATCAAAACTGGGGTAGTTATCATGAAAATAATGTTTTCCTTTTCCAACCAAAATGTATAGGAAACCGGAGCAAGAAGAAGTATTGTAAAAACAAATCTGAAGAAGCTATTGCATAGCGAAACACGTGTTGTGAGAATATTTTCTTTGCAAATTTCAATTTTGAAAGTTTTGAAAGTTTTTGACATTGAATCATGTGAAANTGTAGTTTCCCATGAACTTACACCGGCCTCCAAATACTCCCCCGCCGAGTAGAAGCAGTGTGACATCAAATATTCCGAATTAGTGTCTTGAACTTATGGGTAGGTAGTTCCTTAATATGCACTGGCAATTTATTACATAACTTCACGTCTGAAAAACGCCGTTCTCCAAATGAAAGAGTTTTGAACAATGAAGTTCGAGGTGTACTGAGTTGAACCTCAAAGCGTTGAACAGTGACAATCCGTAGCGTATTCCTGATATGTATCGCTCTTGGTGGAATCAAATGTGCCAATTCACTTGAACACTTTCCGTGAAAGTATCTGAAGAAGAGAGACACATCTGTAACCTTTTTTCGATGTTCCAGATTATCAAGGTTACAAGTGATGTTCGCGTCTTCAATCAGGCGGATGGTTCTTTTCTGAATGGAATCCTGCAACTTCAGGGTATGTTTGGGGGCAGAGCTCCATACATGAGAACAGTACTTCAAAGCAGGTCTGATCCGAGCTTCATAAAGCATCAAAAGTTGCTGATGTGTGTACAGTTTTCTGGTTTGAAACAGTGTTTCAAGCTTTCAGCTACATGATTGTGCCAAAACATATTGGTATTCATTTCAACCCTCATCAAACTCATCGAAGCAGAAAACTGAATTGTCTGTCCTGACATTATTATATCCGGTTCGGAATCATTTTTTTTTAGAGTTTACTTTTTTTCGTACAACCAGTTTGTCTCAGCTATCTCATCCCACCCCGATCTCCCCTACATCGAATTGTGGTCTTTCTATGTACATTGTTCAGAGTCACCTGAAACGTCCCTGCTCTGTGATCAATACAAGTCCGTTGTCAAATTCAACTGGAACATTTCCTTATGAATTATTCGTTCTGTTTTGTTTTCTCAACAGATAATTCAATTTCTGCTATAGAATTACTGTCATAAACATCGACAATGACATTTCAATTTTAATCAAAAGTATTCCCTATATATTTTGACTATTCCAATTTTGAATCATTTGGTTTCCCACCATGTTCAAAGCAACTAATATTTACCAATCACTCTTTCCAGTTTACGTTTGCTCGAAAGTTTTTGCCTTTTGGTATATGAAAATAAGCAAACAGGGATATTCTATAAATAGAATGGGATTAATATTCTCATCAACTTTGATTGTATTCTACATTTATATATTTTTTTGTAAAAACCACCTACATTTGAATGGTATTGAGGAAAACAACCTGCGAAATATCGTGATGACTGCTACTGTGATAATAATCTGTATGAGTGCTATAGTTATTCTTCTACATGGAATACTTTTCTGTGGTAAGGTGAGTATGGCAGTTTTCAATTAGATATGTGTATAACAATTGAGTGGTTCCGCAGGTATTTATTTTTCACTGGAAAATTCAGGATGATCTAATAACTGGTTATTTGTTTCAAGGTGTTCCAAAGTGAATTTCATTAGTTCTGATTTGAAATCTATGAAATTGAAAACTAAAATGGATACTTGGAAATAACAATTATATTAAGCAACAATGGAATTGGAAATGGAATTTCAATTCTTCAGTTATGAATTATTCGCCTGATTTTCATTTCATTGTAATTCCATATTGAATATCATAAGCCAAGTAACTTCACGACGTTTCGATTTTTGGTGTCCACAATCGTGTTCCGGTGATAACTGAACTATTCCCCCGAAAGGGAGTTGACCGGGAGTTGACCGTTTATAGGTTTCCATATGTTGCGTATCTTTACGCTAGCTTGACTGAATGCGTTGTTGGACAACATATATGCAGTTACTTTGAATTTCCTCCTAAGCCAGTGTTCCTTCCAAAGGATGGTCTCAGCTTGAAACCACTTGATGTTATGTTGATGAATCCAAACATGCTCTGCTTTTCCTGATTTGCTGGTTTCAGCCTCTTAGTTTTCCCCATATGGGATTTGCCGCACTTACAGGGTATCCGGTAAATACAATTCTTGGAATCGCAGTCCGCGTTTGGTGGCCTGGTTTCATGAGACAGCTACATATGGTGTTTCCAGATCTGAAGCTGGTTCTAATGTTGCAGTTGGACTCAATTCTTCCTATCCTTTCTGACAATTCTCGTGAAGTGCAATCACTAGTTTTGACGGCTTCTCTTCCTTGCGAGGATCTTTCTTTCTTCCAGCCAGAATATGTTCCAACATCACCATTTCATACTTAGTTCCTTCTCGAGACCTTCTTCCATATTACAGAGCCCAAAAGCACAATCTACTGGAGTCTTGAAGATTCCTCTTTTGGTAGATTTATGGTGGTTTGATTCGTAATTCAGATAATGTCCCGTGTGAGTGGGTTTTGGTATACAGATGTTTCCACCTTAGTGTCGGTCATTTCACCAATACATCTAAGAATGGCAATTCGTTGAGGACTTCCTTCTCCATTGTAAAGGTGATGAAAGATCTTACGCTGCCGATGTATTTAAGGAAGGTATCTAGTTCTGTATTCCCATGATTCCATATCATGAAGGTGTCGTCAAGGTATCCCAACCAATCTCGTGCCTTTTTCGGGCCACTCCATATATATGTTGGCTATAAGTGGTGAAAGTGGCGATACCATTGACAGTTCCTCATCTTACGTGAAGAATACGTCCTTCAGTTGAAAATAGCAGTTATATACCAAGCATTTTAGTAATTCCATAATTACGTCTATAAGTGAGTTCCTTCTATTTTCCAGGTCGAAATCTTTGAATAGATTCCTCTGTATAATTTGAAGTGCTTTTTCAATAGGAACGTTAGTGTAGAGGCTTTCGACGTGGAAAGCCTTCACACTAGATGTTTGAGTGGTCTCAAAAAACGGAAACGTGCGAAATTATTTTCTCAGTTTCAACATATGGATACCTTTGAATAATGATACCATTCTCTGGCATATTATTGTTATTATGTTTTGTTTTTGTTGTAGATTATTGGATGGATAGACAATATAAATGAGTTTGATAACGAAATGTTGACTCCACTGAATTGTCTCAGTTTCAAACGGAGCCACCGAAAAGTTCAATTCAACTCCACAGTCAGCTTTGTGATCATGATCATCTTTTTGGTTTTCAGCGAAACAGTACATGGATTTATTCGATTCAAAAACAAAAATCATGAACTGTTCACATTCGCATCTGCAATTTTTATATTTTCACTTCCTGCGATCACAACAAATTTATTCGTTTTGATTTTATCTACAAAGATACTGATAGTGAAGGAGAGATTCACTTTGATAAATACTGAGCTCCTCAGACTGAGGAAGGAATGGCACATAAACTACCCGAAATTGAAAAAACATGGAATCGGAAGTATACCAAAACAATTTGATTACCAGTAGGTATAGAGATCGCACAATATGATAGGCAATTTTTGAAATATGAAAACCATTTTTGGGAAAGAAAGTTTTTGGCTATCTACTACTCCATCTTGATACAAAAAAGAAGGATGGGGAGTCATCAATGAAGAAAACTCAAAACTCAAAAACTTTCTTTCCCAAAAATTAATCACTCCTAAAAAATATAACCCCTTCAATTCATGAAAATTATGTAATGAAAAATACCGAAAAAGCTCCTTCGAAACAAAATAAAAAATTAAGCCGGTGCACCGAAAATTGCCANAGCTATTTTCAACTTATTGACAGAATTCTCAGTTACTTTTTTGATAATTTGTTTCATTGATGCTGTACATTTCCCCGTTACAGTGGAACATGGATAATAAAATAAACTGCGCTCTTTTCGATGGAGATAATGATGGGGGATATCAGGAAAAATCTAAAATGCTGTTTTCTTCCCACATCCAGAAATCGTAACATTTTTTTTCAATCACATGACGAACTTCATATTACGGAATCTGTTGAAAAGATAACATTACTTACTCCTTCAAGAACATTTGAGTTGAAAATAGCTGTGATGTCTTGAGGTATCACGTTTTTTATGAGCCGTTTTCTATGTTTTTCATACTTGAAATGATTCTTTTTGGCAGAACTATTCAGATCACTCTGTCACTAAGGCAGAAATCTTAGCCGGACAGATGCAGAAAGCTGTCATTATTGGCTCACTGCGCTTGCGCAGGGCACATGATTCTCGGACTCAATAATCACTTACCCACGGTGTGGGGGAGTGATCGTTGGTTGATAATGCTGGCGTGCCCTCCCGAATATATCGGAACTTTGGGAGATAGGGCCTGACCAGCGCGCACTACGAGAATAATAATAATAATATATTTATTGCCATTGGTTTCCTATAAAACATCAGCAACGTCGAATACAAAATTACAATTTACAAACACACATATAAATATATAAGTAAATACTTGGGATTACATCAAAATTACAAGTAAAATGTAAAAATATATATATCATCACTTTAATTTGTGGCCGTTACAGAAAATAAAAAAGTATGCATATATAATTCATACGTTACACTTTAAATACATTGTAATATTCGTCAAGTGAATATAGGGATTTTCAATCAGATATTCTCTCAAAGTTCGTTTGAAGATTCTCATGGTATTGATTTCTTTGAAGTGTGGAGGCAGTGCATCATAAATTTTTATACAATTATAGTACGGACTTTTCTCGAATAGACTTGTTCTATGTAGTGGAATGCGTAGATGTTTACTTCCTCTTGTTACCATATTGCAAATTCATTCATTATTTGCAGAAAATTCGTACAGGTACTTTTTAGCGATTATTGCAATATTATATATGTAGGCACAATGCGCAGTCATAATTCCTAGGTAAGAACATGATTGTCTGCAAGAGGTTTAATTTTTGTCAGATTAAGCATAGTTCTCATGATTTTTTTCTGATAGATGAATATATCCTTGGATGTTGGTGCCTGATACCAAAATATTACGCTATAATCAATCACTGAATGGACATAAGCGAAATAAAAAATTTTGATATTGTTAATACTTATGTGATCCCTGAGGTATCTAATGACACAACAAGCTGACGTTAAAATGCCCATTACTGCTTTCACCTGATCAGTCCAACGCAATTCTTTATCTATCATGATCCCTAAAAATTTTAAAGAAAATGTTTCATTCATTTCGGAATTGTCTATATTGATATGTAGTGATGCTTCTGTACCGTTTCTGAAAAATATATAATTGGTTTTATTTTTATTGATTAGAAGATAGTTCTTTTCACACCACTCATCAACTCGAGACACTGTCACATTAGATCTTCCATTTATATTATGAATATCCCTTTCTGATACAACAACTAAGATCTCGTCAGCGAACAAAAAAACTGAGCTGATGTCTATTTGGGGACTTATATCGTTGATAAATATCAAGAAACGAATTGGACTAAGTAGGAGCCCTGAGGTACTCCTATACCAGTTTTTACTTTTTCGGAGTAGAATACCGAAGATTTGATTTTTTTTTTAAATGAGATACCGACTATTTGTGTTCGGTTGCTGAGTTGAGATTTTATTAGATCAATGACTTTTCCTCTAACACCATAGCTCTCTAGTTTTTGCATTATTAGCTCATGATTAATGAGGTCAAAAGCTTTCGTTAGGTCGAAATAAATGCCAATTACTCTATTGTCCTTATCGAGTTGATCAATTATATGGTTAAGTGAATCATAAATCGCAGATTTGGTGTATCTATTAGGTAGGAAGCCGTACTGATTCATCACAAATATATCATTTTCAATAAAATACGTGATACAGTTTCACCACTGACTATAACATTGAGTGAGAAAATTCCATTGTGGAAAAGAAATGCGTTAAAATTTTCCTTGAAATGAGTATTTTCAACAAATTTTATTTTTTTAGGTACAATGAAGGAATTGTGATAAGTGTTTTGGAGAAGCTTCGTCTAAGTTACTGTCGTATGGAGAAACTTAAACAAGATCTGATTTCCATATACGGTTTTCCACTTCTGATAACTGTCCTGAGACTTTTCATGTATCCATTAGGATATTTATTGAGATATATGGAATGGTGTGCAGATTCTTGTTTAATTGATATTTCAGCCGCTTTCGTAGCTGGTCCTTTTGTCAATACTTTACAACTTTCAACTCTGGCATATATTGGTACTTGGACTTCAAAGGAGGTATATTGAATCCTCGTATTTTCAATGATTCGGGTAACAGATGACCATTAGCAAACCATCTATTGAATGATCATCGATATGAAAGAGTCATGGTCGGAGATAATTATGAATATTACTGGAGTTTTTCCCAACACCAAACCGTTATTTTAGTACCTCGACCTGTGTTTCGATCAGCAAGTGATCATCTTCAAGAGGAAAACCAAACTCAGTTTGATCCTCTCGAAAAGGAAAATCAAACTCAGTTTTCATCCTCTTGAAGATGGTCACTTGGGATGAAAACACGTGTGGAGGTGTAAGAAATAACGGTTTGGTGTTGGAAAAAACTCCAGTAATATTCATTACTACACCAAAGTTTCCAAACAGTGCATCACAAGGAGATGCATATATCAAAGCTATTTTCAACTTATTGACAGAATTCTCAGTTACTTTTTTGATAATTTGTTTCATTGATGCTGTACATTTCCCCGTTACAGTGGAACATGGATAATAAAATAAACTGCGCTCTTTTCGATGGAGATAATGATGGGGGATATCAGGAAAAATCTAAAATGCTGTTTTCTTCCCACATCCAGAAATCGTAACATTTTTTTTCAATCACATGACGAACTTCATATTACGGAATCTGTTGAAAAGATAACATTACTTACTCCTTCAAGAACATTTGAGTTGAAAATAGCTGTGATGTCTTGAGGTATCACGTTTTTTATGAGCCGTTTTCTATGTTTTTCATACTTGAAATGATTCTTTTTGGCAGAAAATGCTGAAAATTGTTCAAAAAGTTTCATTCCTTTTTGCCTCACAAGTAAGCATTATCAGTTTTATTTTCATCGTTGAAAAAGCAACGAATTTGATATCCAAATTGTAGAAAATAATAAAAAACGGTCATCCACTGAATAAACTGTATGTGATAATCAACAATTCAATATTTTGTGACTAATGACTAACGAACTGATTATGCACAAAAGTTTCATTTCAGAAAATTACGAATAATAGAATACCAACAATTAAAAAATACAGATATGCTAAAATCAAAAATAGTTGAATTTGTAAGAAATATGAACGGACTCATGAAGCAAATGAAAAAGAAGCATACCAACGACAATGTAGGAGATGGACAATACCTCAAAAATTAATTATATAAATGAATTTACTGTAGGATTTTCACGTTATTGTTTCTTCGAGTTAACACAAATCAATATTGATAAATAATAGTTGGAAGAACTAAAAAAAAGTTTTAATGGCAACACAAACTAAAAAGTAAAAAATAATTCTGAACTAATTTGAGATAGTGTTCAACATCGACAATAAGTCTTATGGCTTGATGTAACTGATGAGTTTTAATAAGTCCAAAATTAAAATGAATCCATTTACAAAAAAATCAATTTTATCGTATAGAGGCATGGGATACTTAAATTATATTTTAATTATGGCCCCCATCTGGAATGATGGATATTTAGCACCCTACGCTTTTTTACAACAAAATTAATTTTTTCGATGATGAATTTATTCTGATTACAGACTTATTGGAAGCCATTAGTTACATCAAGCCATGAACTAATTTTAAATTACTTTCTTTAGGACAACAAGAGGACTGCTCCGAATTCTTGGGGATCTTGTAGAATACTCTTCGTGAGCAAAAAATAGTAGGATCAATACTTCACAGCTCTGAGATTGAATGATTTCGTACAGTATATCTCGTCTTGTGTTTGTGAATCTTTTGCTGGAAAAATCCTCACTTGTTTACTTTGTAGTAAATGTTCAAAAGGTAGCGAAAAAGTATGTGATTTTCTAGAACTTCAAGTAGCGTTTCCTACTTGATTGATAACCAGTCCGTTCAAAGCTTATTGTTAAATCATCTGAAAATAGAGTATGCATCGGGTGATGATCAACTGTATTGCCAAACATGCCTCGAAATAACTAACTAACAAGTATAGCTGAGGCACCAGTCAATCTAATAATAACACTGATGATTTTCAAACATGACTGAACGTCTGACGGAAGCACCAAACTCTTAAGAAGGTTCGAAATAGATGAACAATTCAATCTAGCAGACCACTATTATAATCTTCATGCAGTTATTGTTCACTGTGGTTCTGGCGTTGAATCTGGTCATTATTACGCATTGGTCAAAGACGAAACGGACCCTTTGTTTTGTTTTATGAAAGAGAGGACGGATGATCAAGATCTTTAACGTTTAACTTTTGATGTTTCATTATTGCATGATTTGTAGTACCTTCTTCTTTGATATATTAGAAAATAAAAGTTTCGAAATATTTTTTATTATTTAGTTTGTGTTTGAATTGAATCATGTTTTTAAGTTTCTTCAAACTATTTTTCATTTTCCACTTTTCAGTTTGGCTTGCTATTTCAAGTCCATTTGTTTCAATATGAAATATATACACGTATGCGCAAACAGTGTGGTAGTCTCTGGAAATTATTTAATCCTGGCGATCCTGATCAGGATAATTAGATGAACTTAATAAATGATTGTATTGTCACCGATTCTTGATAAACATACAGAGTTCAAAATACATCTGCCCGTTTGAAATTAGTGAAAATCGAGTCCAAGTCGGTTACAAACAAACAAACATGCAAGGGGAACTAATAAAAGCCTGTTAAAATGGTTGCACTCCATAATTGAAAATCTAGTTTTTTTACCGATTATGTTTGGTCACTCATTCCATATCATTTTAGGCTAAAAAGGCAGCATTTATTTTGCATTCCATGGAGCATACGTCAGAGGAAATGAGTGAATATGTGAGTATAGAAACAATGTTTTTGAAAGTTCATTTTCAGATGCTCGTGCTTCAAATATAGCCCTCTCATGGTTGCGAATCACATCACTGATAAAATTGAGTATATGGTAGTATCTGTATCTGTAGAGTAGGAGAGGTGAGTGTAACCCCACAGCACTTAGGCCACATGTGGCCCATTGAACATCCTCCCGAGGAGTTGTCCTCCTAGGTTATCGTCCATCCTGTCCTTTCCAGGAACGTGGACAGGTCACTAGGAGACATCTCCTTCATATTGGTAGGTGTAGGCCATGACTAGCTGAACACACACTTTCTTATTGACGATAACTCCGGGCAATCGCATAGGACTTGCCTGGCCATCTCATCTTCCTGTTCGCACATCTTGCATAGAGGTGTGTCCAGTAGCCCCATATTATGGAGGTGTTTCCTTAGTTGACAGTGGCCAGTCAGAAATACTAGTGTTGAGCGTGGATTTTTCCTGGTCATCGCCAGATATTTCTTTGACGCCAGCTTCCCAGGGTCGCCCAAGGTGATCCTGGCAAAATTGCATCCTTTGATTCCATCCCATTTTTTCAGGGATTGAGCATGGGTGTAACATTTGGCTAGTTCCGCAATTGTCGAAGTAATCAGGCTGTAGGTGCCGTTGGGTCCTAAAATTCTTAGTCCAGCCGCTTCTTCGGCTAAAGATTTGGCAATGCAATTACCTGTCGTGCCCTTTAACCCACCTCAGGATGATGCTATTATCTACCAAGATTTTGGCTAAATCTTGGTGACACTTCACTCTAGTACTAGCCCTGAGGTTATACGTTGCCTGTTAAACGCTAATAGGGCTTGTCTGCTGTTAGTGCAGATTCTTATATTTTTGCCAGAAATTCATTTTCTGGTTATTTCTTTTGTGGCGATTGAGATACCAGCCAGTTCGTTTTGAACCACGCTGGTATTTTTTCCCATTCGTCACTTAATCCTTAGGCTTAGTGATCTGGAGTACACTCCACATCCTGACCCTTAAAGCGCTTCCCGACACCAGTCGTGCGCAATCGTACCATTGCCTCCTCAACGTACAGGTCCAGAGGGGTCAGACCCGTAATCAATTACATTGCCGCGGTTGGTGTTGTTCTCATGGCTCCTGTGATGTTTAAACAAGCCAGTGACTGTATTTGATATAATATTTGGATGGCCGTTGCTTGTAGAACATACGGCCCCATGCAAAGGCTCCGTACGTTAACATAGGTCTTATTATTGCAATGTAGATCCAGGTGACCACACGGGGTGAAATACCCCATGCGCGTCCCAATGTCCTTTGACAATGCTCATAAACAACATATGTTCTTTTTGCTCTACAGTATCTGGTAGTAATTCAGATGAATATTTTTCAGATCAAATATTTTTCCGGTCAAGTCCTCTTCATGGAAATAAACATTACAGTTTTTGGTTTATTCACCCTGAACGAGTCTTTATTATTTAGGGTGAGTTCGTTATAACTACTTATCTTGTTCGATTGATATCCTATGCATTCAGAGAAAATCTATATTGAATATAGGATACAGAAAATATGTTTTGTCTAATTTTTACTTAGTTTTTTATTCGTTACGACAAACAATTTTTAAAACTTGTGTTTCAACATCTGAATTAAGAAGATATGTTTAATTTTTCATTTTCACTTTTAGGTGATGAGTGAACTGATATCATTTGTCATTCTCTTCATTCAGACAGGAGAATCATAAGGGAAATATGTCAGATATAGATCATAAAGATCACAAAGAAAATAAATGTTACCTTCAAATAATGTGGTATCATTTCAAAACACTATTGCACAAAATGTTTTCAACTGTTGTTCCCTAATTCCAACAATTTCATTCGAGTAAAGAATTATATCATCGATACAGTATGAATATTACTGCAGCTTTTTCCCAACACCAAATCGTTATTTTTACACCTCGACACGTATTTTATCTTCCTCTTGAAGATGATCACTTGGTGATCGAATCACCTGTCGAGGTGTAAAAATAACGATTTGGTGTTGGGAAAAAACTCCAGTAATATTCATTACTACACCAAAGGTTCCAAACAGTATATCACATCGATACAGTAGTTGAAGAATATTTTTTCATGATTCAATTCAGAGGTTTTCTGGTCCATTACAAATGAAATCTGAAACGAAATACATCATAATTATAAATGCGATTCGGGTTATCAGTGGATATTTCCACCAGTGAATCTGAATGCAAGTCTGAGAAGAAAAAGAGGAGGAGATGAAAAATATAGGGACTGCTCACTTGAAAATCCATGGAAATCACGCCGGAAACCTTGCAAATTGTAAATTTTCATTATTATTCATTTTGTTAACAAACATTAAAAATACTTTTTTTTCCATTTCACCGGTTTGTTGGGAGATGACCGTTTGGCGGGAGTTGGCCATTTTTCGCTTGATTATGGGTTTCCATATGTTGCCTATTTCTAGGCTAGTTTGTCTCAATACATTTTTGACCAACATGTATGTGGCTTCTTTGAATTTCCTCTTAAACCAATGTCCTTTCCTGTGTATTATCTCAGTTTGGAACCACTCGGTGTTATGTTGATGGGTTCAAACATGCTCTGCTATTCCTGATTTGCTAGTTTTCCCTCGCTGTGTGTGTTTCTTGTGCTCGGCAATGCGAACATTCAATGGCCTCTTAGTTTTAGCGATATATGATTTTCCGCACTCACAGGGTATCCGGTAAATGCAATTCTTGGAATCGCAGTCCGCGTTTAGTGGTCTGGTTCTCGTGAGGCTGCTACGATTGGTGTTTCCGGATCTGAAGCAGGTTTTGATGTTGTACTTGGAACCAATTCTTCTTATCCTTTCCGATAATCCTCTGATGTAGGGGAGTGCAAGCACTGGTTGTGACGGATCCTCTTCCTTGAGAGGTTCCTGCTGTCTTTCAGCCAAAGTCTGTTCCATGCATCGCTTTGGAGTAGCCATTCCGTTGAAGATCATCTTCGATGATGTATAGTTCCTTCTGGAAACCTTCCGTCGTATTACATAGCCCGAAAGTACAGTCTAATAGAGTCTTGACGATCCCTCTTTTACTCAATTGATGGTAATCTTACGCTGTTGATGTGTTTCTTAAAGGCGTCTAGTTCAATATTCTCATGGTTCCATATTATGAAGGTGTCGTCAACGTATCTCAACCAGACACGAGGTTTCTTGTGGGCTTTATATAATATGAGATAATGGAAGTCCGAACTGATGAAACATTGTCAATTACCTTCAAACAACCTTCAACTAATCAATGAATTGGTGAATATTGACAACTACTGAGTACTTTGTGATAGAAAACTGGAATTTGGTACACTATTCTACAGACCAGGCTTGATTGTTCCTTTTGAAATGGGATCATGTGAAGCATTTTCAAAGCACTATTGAGTTGATGACTTTTGATTGGAAAGAAATGAAAATTAATGGAATTGAGCTACTACTCACATTGAAAAACAGAAATTTTTCAAAAAACCAATTCTCACAGCCTCAACTCAATTGAATCAACTCAATTGAAAAGTTTACCGAAAAAATGAAAGATAATAACAAAAAAAAGTTGTTGAGAGTGTAAACTAACATTTGTTAGAATAACAGATCAAAATAAATCATTGAAATTCTGTAGATTGTGATGTTGATTTTTTGAAATGTGTATGTAACTAACAAGTTTTTCTTGGGAAAATATGCATGGATAAGAAATCTTCAATTCCAATTTTCAACTTCCACAATAAAACTCCCATGACATCTTCCAGAGACATAAAATCACGTTCAAACCTTCAGTAAGGAAATGAAGCTCTTCACGATTCTACAGTGTTGAATGTTTTCTTCAGTCTATTTTTTTTCTCAAGGATGATACACAAGTTCTACAGCTTCTTGAGGTGCTCGTTGAGCGGTGCCTGTGCGGAAGTAGCGATTCACGTTGGATTTGAATCGCTGAAGATAAAATTCTTTTGGAAAAACATTCTCAGGAAGTTCATTCCACATGATCTCAGTCCTCCAAATGGAAGAGTTCATAGACAGTGAAGTTCACTGCTAAGTCACTCCGACACCTCCCATGAAAGTCAACAGCCATCTTGGTTTCGGACAGGTTGGAGCCTGGCTCCCTTACTGAGGTTCGTCAGGAAGACAAACGGGTCAGAACTGATTGTATGGGATGACGGCATGAATGTCCTCAGATATCATTGCCGCCCTTCACATGGACCCCTACCTGGCTGGGGTATTTGGATGAAGATATTGTTCATCTTTTAACGGGGGACATGAGGGCCTCACTCGACAGAGTGTCTGGGCCTTCTATATCGGGAGAGGTAGTCTATAGTGTAATCCATAGCTTTCCTGACTGAAGGATTTTCATGATTTTCGGCACAATCAATGACTTGCCGATTCCTCGACTGAATGGACTGCTGAATGAAAGACAGCTGTAAATCTCTGCGGATGGCTTCGTTCCGTATGAACCAAGGAGCATTCACAGAGGGTACAGACTAGCTATCCGACCATCGATCTTTGCCTTCACGGTTGTGATGTGCGGGTTTCAGGTAAGCCTACGGTCTATTAGAAGACCGAAGTACTCTACCCGCGCTTGCCAGTCGATCTCCCTTCCAGAGATTCTCACTTTTATGGCCGGAGAAGATAGCAATCTTCCCATGGTTTTCACCTGGGTCTTTTCTGGATTCACTCGGATCTTTCATTCAAGGTACCAGCGCTCGAGGTCATCCAATGCACATTGCATGTAGACAATATTCCTTTGAAAAGAATTGAATTAATTTATTTGTTGAATTTCAGTGATACATGAANGAGTTTTTGTGCTCTTGGGTTCTGGCAGATATACGTCTGTTGGTCTGACCGATATATTGTTGACCACAGTCCTCGCATGTGATGCTATGTACTACTTGGTTTTCTAGGGAAATTCTCTCTTTCGGTCAATATCTCTCTTTCAATATATCGGTCAGACCAACGTCATTCTATTTGGATTCTAGCACATCGGCTTCGGAGGCACATCTTCACCGGCAGCAGGAGGTTGCATATCTTGATGGGGATCTAGATTGATTTCGTGAAAGTAACCAGACTCAGGCACAGCTTTTCTTGTTGGGGATTAATAGGGACACAGTCATGTCGCTGAAATTGAAAACGTTACTTCTCATAAGCTTGCAACCCTGAAGCTGCTGGATTCCATCCAGAAACGAGACATCCGCCCGATTGGAGACACGAATATGACTTGCAAACTTAATATTCTGGAACATCGAAGAAAGGTTGAAGGTTCGTCTTTCTTTCATAGACACCTTCATAGGAGGTGTACCAGTGACTTGGCATATTTGATTCCACCAAGAGCGATACATATCAGAAATACGGTGGCTGCTCATCGTTTTGAGATTCAACTCTGTACATCTCGAACTTCATTGTTTAAAAACTCTTTCATTTAAAAAACGTTTTTTTCCAGCTATTCAAATCCAAGGATTTTCCTGTAGTGCTTGTGTTCTGCCCCAAAAAAATACTCGGGTACTTGGTTACGAAGCTCTGTGATTGACAAATCTGGGACAAGCACTACTGCACAATTTGGGCAGTAGGTGTACTTTGATCAAAAGTTTCATTTTACAGACAATTTTGTAGGAAGTGTGGAATTTCGTGAGATATTCAACGACATGGAAGTTACAAATTTCACTGATACATTCAATCAACCGTTACTCCATTGTTTTCTAATTGCCAGTTTTTTGAGTATTATAAAGACAATTAGGAACTCATTTCTTTCTTGTATCTTGTTCATTATATATACAGGCTCTATCATAAGTCGCTTCCTATCTTTGAGATGGAATAAAATAAAGTGTGTGCGCGATTTCATCAAAACTTTTTTTCTTCTGAAAGACGTTTTGTTGTCATTATGTGTGGAATATAATATCCTTCAAATGTCCACCACGACTTCTCTGGGTAAAACACAATTTTCCATGATTCCGGCGCATAAATTAGGCTGAAATTGACCGATGACGTGGGTTATATTGACTTTGAGGACCGCTGTGGCTTCTTAACGAAGACGATTGGTTTGTATGGTAAGTGGTCTTTCAGGTCAGATGGTAAGAGTACGGCTCTGCCGAACTTCAAGAACCTGATTCGATCCCCAGCGGGGCAGGTACAAAGTATATGCTTTGCGACAACCTTATCATATGAGGTTTTTTGCTGCACGTCAGCCATACCTGACGATGCCTTAGATTCAACCGTGCAGGGCTTTTTCGCCTCTGGTTTTGGTAAATCATCACTTGAGCTCAAATGTTTGCTAGCTTCTCCACCTGAGACATATTCTGCGCACGCCGCTCAAGAATTTNCCGAACTGATGAAACATTGTCAATTACCTTCAAACAACCTTCAACTAATCAATGAATTGGTGAATATTGACAACTACTGAGTACTTTGTGATAGAAAACTGGAATTTGGTACACTATTCTACAGACCAGGCTTGATTGTTCCTTTTGAAATGGGATCATGTGAAGCATTTTCAAAGCACTATTGAGTTGATGACTTTTGATTGGAAAGAAATGAAAATTAATGGAATTGAGCTACTACTCACATTGAAAAACAGAAATTTTTCAAAAAACCAATTCTCACAGCCTCAACTCAATTGAATCAACTCAATTGAAAAGTTTACCGAAAAAATGAAAGATAATAACAAAAAAAAGTTGTTGAGAGTGTAAACTAACATTTGTTAGAATTACAGATCAAAATAAATCATTGAAATTCTG